ACTTAGAGCTACTTTAGGATTTAGTTTCAGCTTTGGACTCGGGGCTTTTGCAGCACTAGTGCCTATGCTGCTGGAAGAGGGGGAGGACGAAAGACACTCCGGACCCCCCTATGGCTGAACTGGTCTGAAATTATGATAAGGGTCCGAACCTAGGAAAGATGACACAGATAAGAACACACTATGTTTGGCTGTTATTTCTAGCCCCGTAATTTGCCAACAGATATGAATACAGAAGCTACAACATAACAAACAAGTAGAAGCTGACTTCTTTGATGGTCTGCATAAATTAGAGGTCAAACTACCTAAATTTCCAACATCTCAGCCTCACAAATTCCTGACCGAAATTATGCCAAGGAGAAATACATAAAAATGAGGAAGCATTAAGTCACCATTATCTATTTACATACAAAAAGCGACTAACTTATCATCAAGCGACATGTTTCAGGATTGAATGGATTCCAAGTGCCATTCGATAGGGCCCTCTGCAGCTCATCGGCACTGATTTTGCCGGAACGATCTGCGTCCACGCTCACAAAAATATTATGTAACGGCGGATGCTGATATGACATTTGAATAGAAATTCAACAACAGTGCTCTGAAATACCGAGAAATAACGCAAAAAAGTTTTACAAAATTTACCAGTAAATATACGCGAGCACGAGTTGTAGTTTAACACTGAAACATTGCAAGAAGTGGAAAAGCACTTCAACGACAACATAACAATAAGATGTCGCATAATGAATTTCCACTGAAAAGATGCACAGAGAAAGTAGATGATTTTAGAGTTAGCTATAAAAGTGCGAGAAACTGGAAAGATCTTCTTATTAGTTTTGCGACAAATACAAAGTTATATAGCTGCATCCAACGCGCGAAAGTACTCCAGAAACATCACTACCACGGGATGCGCATCTCGGCTGTCCGGGCAGTTTTGGTCTTGGATCAACTTCCGTGACCTTTAAGAAAACTGAATGTGATCCTTCCCCTCCTCTCACCCCTCCCAGGAACTTCTTGATACTGTATGCAAATTTCGCACCTAGCACTGCTTTCACAATCAGATGTGATAACTCGAATTACAGAAGAATCAAACTACGATTCTGGTGCCGACAAAAGAACAGGCTAGCTTTAGCAATCCAAGGCGCATTACAGTTGAAAGAATTTGTGCGGGAAAAGCAGTTCTTGCGCAGAAAGTAAAGCGACCCGCACCCGCGGCCTAATAAATCAATGTGCAGATGAATCATCAACGATGTCAATATGCTTCTCAAAAAACGCGGCTATATTAGTTCCTGCAATCATCAACAAACAATGGCTAAGTGTAGCTGTGCTAGGAATCACACACAACCCTAGCAGAAAGCAATGTGCGCGGATACAAAACCAGTCCCAGGGAAAACCGCTTGCAAAACCAGTCCGGACAACCAGTGCCAAAACAGTTACAATAACACATTTCAAAACAATAACACATCTCTCACACCCCTGATGCCCCCATGCCTTTCTCTTCGACACTGCACTACACAGCTCCCGCCGGTACTCACCGCCTGTTCGATGTATGTGTGCCATCTCTTCGGAGGGAGCCAACGTATTTTTTCCTTTATTTAATAACGTATTTTTTCCTTTATATAATAACTTATAATAACAGTAATTAAAAATAATAATAATGCTGATAGTGATAATAATAGTAATGTTGATAACAATAATTATGCTGGAAATAATAATAACAATAATAACGATAACAGTAATAATAACGACAATAACAATTTTAGTGACAGCGAAGTGCTACTCTGGATGGATGCACTGAAACGGGGAAAATATTCAACGGCCAAATGGGACTGCATGATTATTCAGTGGTCGCTTTGCCCGCATGAAATCCCTCGGGACTTTAAAAAGCCGGCTGAAATGAAGTTGGAAGATGAGAAGTCGAGAAAGACATATCGAAATCTCATTTCATCACGGAAAAGAAATAGTAAAAAAAGAAAAGCTAATCAGAGAAGGCCGAATGAGGAAAAGCTAAAAAGTGCAGTAAATGAGGGATGACTCACTCACATAACACATCACTCCGGGACCATCCATCAACACCTGAAACAGCTCGCACATACCAATTTTATAGGACTGGAAGGCAAAACACATACTCAGGGAACTCAAACAACGGGGCATGTCTGTCCGGCCGATTGTTAGTTATGTAAGTCCGGCTGACTCAGCTAACATCATTCTCGTGACCCGATGCTGTATGCCCGGACAAACCGACCTCCAACAAATTTCAACATAGACCCCTACCCGTGTGAATGAACGCCCGGGCCTCGTATATTAGAATTAGGCATGGTTTTCTCACCAAAAAAAAACGAGAAATTCTGGAACAACCTCCGACTGCTCCGAGTTTCCACCTCAGACTTTTACCCCAAAAACCCATTGAATTAGCCCCGTCCAACTACGAAAAAAAAATTTAGCGCGCTACCTGTTGAGTTCAGTACGCATGAGCTCAAGCCTCCGTACTCCCTCCCCCCTCCAACCCCCTCCCCCAACACAATTCTACTTTTGCAAGTACTTCTCCCTGGATTTGAAATATTTGTTCAAGAGATGCTTGCTCTAGAAGCGAAGCAATCTCATCGACTAAGCAATTCAGTTCAATGACGCAGTATGAGCTTTACTGCGCGCACCTGAACTATTCAACATATTAACAATAAACAATTAGTAAATAAAATTAAAATTAGGCCTGCAGTAGTCCCGATCAAATAAATGAATGGCTGCTGTATCACTAAATGGATTGATTGGCGGATCCAGGGGGTGGGGGGAGGTGTTTTTCGCCCCTTCCCCCAGGGACTTAGGTAGCAGGTATTTTACTGTAGAAAAGTCTCCTTGGAGCCTTTTAACGCCCTCCAGGAACCTTTGAGAGGGCGGAGGGGAGCGGTAGTGTGGCGAGTGAAGGATGAGTTGGGAGCTCCCCGAGGGGGGAAGCAGGAGGGAAGGGATTGCAGTGACCAAGGAAGAAGGTAAGGTGGGAAATCGCCCCCTACTCCCCCAGGAAACAGCCCTGGATCCACCTATGAATGAATTATTCTACGGTATGAACTGGTCGCTCTTGTGGGCAGTTTAGGAAAAATACCTCAAAATGAGAAGGCAACAATGAGCCATGTATGACTTTAGATTCCATTCACTTATTCAAATATTTCACCAATTTGCTGAATGGCAATGCATGAGCACCACGGACTGAATCCGTTGTAACTGGGACTTGTACATATCTGTTCATGAAGCGGAGTAATGATGTAGTAAAAAAAAAAAAAAATGCCAAGGTGGCTAAACGTTTAAAGTAAGATGAAAGCTTCAAGTCACCACTAAGAGGGACTGCGCACTTTGAGAGAATTTAATTCAAACGCTAAACTAAGCAGAAACGCAAATTAGGATAGTGGGCATACCACCTATATGCCACATCACCGATATTATAAAGCGTGCACTGATCATGCACTTCTCACCGACTGGAAAAGGCCGCATTCAGCACAAACACGTTAACAGATCACTGATAACAAGTAATGGTGATAAGAATGGCTGATTGATTGGAGGCAAAATGCACCAACAGAATGATCACACAGTGGCCAGAAGACGTGCTGGGAAGGATGGACGCACGAATTATTCACCTCAATTAAACAGCACAACTAACGGGACTCATAAACAATTAGGAAATTCATAAAAACACAACAACAGCCTCCTCACACAGATTCTAATCATAATCGTGGTAATAAAGTAATAAAGGAAGAATGAACCAAAATGAAATTTTAATCATAATCGTGGTACTAAAGGAATAATGAACCAAAATGTAACACGGCACATACATGTAAGTGTTACAATATCTTAATATGAACAAAGAAACGGAAGGAATAAAGACGGCAAAATAACACAGTCCAAAAAATGCAATAAAATGAGTTATGAAATTCAGATTTTATCACCGCTCACTGCTAAATACATTCAACAAGCTTGCGCTAAATAGACCGCTGAAATCGGTCAAAACTGATAGATGCGGTAGGGCACAAGAAATCATCAAATGGGAACATATTTGTATGTTTATATCTTTGTTTAAAGCTCTCAAGGAACATGGAGTCGATCCAGCATACCTTCCTGTC